GCTGAATGCCAGCTGACTTAAGCTCTGCTATTTCAGCTCACAGAGAAAGCACTTCAGGATTATGAAGGAGCCTAAACTGCTTTAGGTATGTTTTGGACAAGAACACAAGTCAAAGCCCGATAGCAATCTTTCTGTGCACTAAGTTCTGTTTGACACTCTGTTCCAGGTACCTTATTTATTTGAGGTATGCTTCTAAATATTAAAAGAGACTTGTAAAATAGGCCTGTCTGGTGTCTACCTCTATAATGTTTTTGGTACTAGACAAAAAAGTTCTTAATCACCCAGGCTTCTTAAATTGTTGTAAATTTAAATTTTCTGTTTTAAGGATTTTATCCTTTGTCATTACTTGTATTGTGACATAATGGTTGTACAACAGACGCGGGTGGTGCTGTGGTCTAAACCACCGAACCTCTTGAGCGTGCTGGTTGTAAGGTTGGCAATGTGAATCCGCGCGATGGTGTTAGCTCCCGTTGCTCTGTCCAAGCTCCTGCCAACCTAGCAGTTTGAAAGCATACCAGCGCAAGTAGATAAAGTGCTCCGGCTTCCGTTACGGTGTCCTGTTGTGCCAGAAGCAGTTTAGTCATGCTGGCCACATGATCCGAAAAAGCCCTCTGCAGACAACCACTGGCTCCCTCGGTCTGAAAGCGGAGATGAGCGTTGCACCCCATAGTCAAATTTGACTGGACTTAACCATCCAGGGGTCCTTTACCTATGTACAACACCCTAAACCATTACAGAAAGAAAAGTAGTATATTTATGTTTTAAATAAACAATATCCTACTGAGCTCATTCATTCAGAAGAGAAAAGACAGTCCTGCATTGCAGGGGTTGGACTACATGACCCTTGGGTCCCCTCCAACTCTGCAGTCCTATGATTCTATGACACTTTTTATCGAATTTTTGACAGCCTTAAGCTTGAGAACCTGTTAGTAAATAAGGATATAGAACCCATTCAAAGAGGCAGGACACTTCTAAGGGTTCCTAGAAATCCTGATGCATCCAACTGAAAAGGCCTTAGATGTGCCACAGAGAGCAAGCACCATCAGTCCCAGGCCGAAGTCTAGCGGATGGCTTTATTTGGCTCACTAGTGCTGAAACATGCTGCTCTTTTTATTGTTTTGCTTTTTTTTTGTTAGTCAATCAAAGTGCTCAGTGAGCAGAAGAGCAGGATATAAATATCAATGATTATAATAATTAAGGCATCCGTTGATAAATGACTTTCTGCAGTTTTGCAGGCGACAGTTGCTAGGCAGGGCAGAGTACCCATGGACCAGCTTTGATGTGCCACATTTATCTTCTGCTCTTCCACTCACTATAATATTTGAAAATGTGGAAGCAGCTATTGTTGTTTGTGCCAGTAGCCTTGAAATTTGTTTTTCACCCAGCTTGGTTTAATCCAGGGGTGGGGAACCTTTTCTGGGCAGAGGGCCAAGTCTTTATCTCTCCTGCCTCTGACAAGGGTGCCCACCTGTCAACCCACCTGAGATGATAATGACATCAGATTGTGCTTCTATTTAAAGTCCCAATTGAAGTGAACCGTGGGGCTTCTAAAGAACCCTCTGCAAGAATTCTTCTTGGTTTGAACGAAAAGTGGGGTGGGGGTTGTTTGTGCGGCTAATTTAAAGTCCTTTGTACACATCCCTGGAGCAAACTGCTGAGGTTTGAAGAAGTTTGTGGGGGTGTGGGGGGTGTTGTTGTATGCATACTCCAATCTGCTTATTAGTTCATGGGCAGATGGGAGTGTACCTTCAAAGGTCCTCCACTTCTTCAAACTTCCATGGTTTGAAGAAGAAACATGGGGAGTTGGGATGTTGAAGTCACATCAGCGGATTGGAGTCAGGTGGGAGCGCACTTGCTGGATCCAAGGAGCAACCAGAAACTTTAAGCTGCTGATCATTCTTTTAAACTCCCATTCTTATCCACCCCACACCTGATGTTGTGTGGGGGCATGACTTCCTGAAATGGACCTGACGGGGCACATTTTGCCCATGGGCCAGAGTCACCATTGGTTTAATACAGACGTACCGTGGAAGTCAAACGGAATCTGTTCTGGAAGTCAGTTCGACTTCCAAAACATTTGACTTCCAAGGCGAGACTTCCAATTGGCTGCAGGACACTCCGGAAGCTGCATTGAACGTCCGGCTTCCGGAAATCATTCAGAAACCAAAACAATCACTTCCAGTTTTCAATCATTTAGGAGTTCAAACGTTCGAGTTTACAGGCGTTCGGCTTCCAAGGTTCCACTGTATAAATCTGTTAAATTTCAGATGTGGGCTTTTCATCCTGCCTAACTTTTCTCTCCTCATCCACCCCTTCTCGGTTTCTTTTGTTACCATCTGGCCTGCAGAAAAGTTCTGGACAAGTTGAAAGATTGCTCAATACATGATTTTTTTTAGTTAAAAATCTACTTAAAAGTAGTGCTCTACAGTTGTTTTTATATGTTCTTTCTCTTCTGTTTGTGACTCAGTCACAAAGCACTTAAAGCAGCAACACATTGAATTAGGCAGTGGAATAACTCCTAATGCAGGAAAGCACAACTCTTGCACTCACAGTGTAAACATATTTAGTGACAGTGTCTGTAGAGAAGCAGAGACAGTGATAGCTGTCCTATCTCACAGCATGTGAATTGTGGAGTCTGACATAAATGTAAGCCTACCAATCCGTGTGAGTCAGTCTGGAGTGGGTGTGCTGCTTGTGTCCAGTCAGGGAAGAAATTGGAGCATGCAAGGGGAGGAAGGAGCATGCAAAGCCAAGGCTTGGAGCAGACATTCAAGTTTTGGTTTGGCTATTATTAGATACATGGTGTTGAATGGAAAAAATATACTATGCCACAAAACTCCTCTATATTTTTATTTTGTTTCCAACTAAAATTTGGAATCCAGAACTTCCTACTAGAAAGCGAAAATTGTCATCTTATTTTGTATGTATTGGGTGAGAGTCTGAAGATAAACAGCTTTGTTTAAGACTGCAAAATGTGTACCCGTTGAAGCATTGCTTTAAAATACAATTTTGGGGTTTTCCCCCCTTGTTTTGCGATGCTGTTTAAACGTTGTGAATAAATCTGCTGCTCCTAATCAAACTGCAGGGTAGAGGAAAAATCCTTTTCCTTTGCTTGGTGTCTGCTGTTCAAATAAAGCTCTGTGTTTGTTCTTGTGACTTGCCCATTATTATTAGCCCCCTGGGTACTTGAGATTAATCTACATTTTATGCACTTCCTTTGAAAATGTGTAACAGCGTAACTCACTTGCCACTGTGAATAAAATGGAAACCGTCAACTGTTCTGAGGAGATTTATGATGACTTGCCACATTCATGGTTACCTTCATACAATATTTTGAGTCAAACATTGATTCAGTATGAAGCAATAAATCCAAAAGGCTTGTGTGTACAGGTCTACCCCCCGCTTATGCACAAGTTACGTTACGGGCTCCTGTGCGCATAAGCAAAAATCGCCTAAGTCGAGAGCACCCTCTAAAAAGCCTCTAAACACCTGTCTTTTCCTGCTCTCCAGCTCTCTCTCCCCTCTCTGGGGCAGCTGGAGGCTGGGGGACGTGCAGGAAAGTGGCTGCTGCGCTGCTTTGTGTGTCAGCTGCTAGGCGGGGAGGCTGAGCAGCCTAAATAGAGCCCTGCTGCACCCCCAATCTCTTTGGGGCTTCCTTCACCCTCAATGAAGTCCTCTTTGAGTTCTGGGAGGGGTCTCCTCGTGAGCTACAAGGACTCTCCAGCCCTCTCCTGCCATTTCTTGGTTTAAATCTATTTATTTCCTAGTGTCGCACATATATGCAGACATGCACAAATTGATCATGTGCGGGGGGGTGGGGCACACACCTGTATCTGGTTTAAAGCATTATAAATTATACATATTACTTACACTGAGGTCTTCTTCCGAGTGTCTTCTGGTGGTTCCCTCAAGTGAAGTTACAGGCAGAGGGCCTTCTCAGCAGTGGCACCTTCCCTGTGGAACACCCTCCCATCAGATATCAAGTAGATAAAGAGCTACACAACTTTTAGAAGACACTTGAAGGCAGCCCTGTTTAGGGAAGTTTTTTAAGTTTGATGTTTTATAATGCTTTTAATATTCTGTTGAGAGCCGTCCATGGTGGCTGGGGAAACCCAGCCAGATGGTCAGGGTATAAATATAGTAGTAGTAGTAGTAGTAGTAGTAGTAGTAGTAGTAGTAGTAGTAGTAGTAACAACAACAACAACAACAACAACAACCTATTAAACACTTACACATGTATGTTGAGGAGAGCATTGAGTGTTGTAGTATTATGCTTTTAAAATATTTACTTGTGCATCTGATATGCTACTAGGAAAGTAAAATGTTGGGTTTTTTTAGCCTTTTCTCATCCAGAATAAACTAAAATATATGCAATTTTTTTTAATGAAAGCTAAACTTGCCCAACTCCCCATTCCCAGATTTCTGTGCAGTTTTCGGAGAGATTATAATGTTATTAGTTGAAAATACAAGTGACAACTGTTGTATTAAAATTTGAGCCAGTTTCTTGGTCCCAGTCGTAATATGCCTGTGAACAAATAAAAAGTGCTATTTTATTATTTAATAATAATAATAATAATAATAATAATAAAATTTATTTATATCCCGCCCTCCCCAGCCTTAGCCGGGCTCAGGGCGGCTAACAACAATAAAACAGTACAAAAGTACAACATAAACAACACTCTAAAATCATTCATTCTAAAATATCTGTTTGTGATATTCTACTGGCCCTAGATGGAAATTAAAGGACTTGGTTCTATTGAAGGACTAAGGCTGCCAGATTGCCTTTTGCCTGCTTGGGCTTATTTATGAAACCATGGATATATTACTAGTTGATGATTTAGTATCCAACATACCAGTCGCTGAAAAGCATAATTGTTCATATGGTTTCTTTTTTTACAGATATTCAATGGCTATTGCTGCTTTTGTTGTCCTTTTGAAGTGTGATTTGTTTTATGCAGGAATGTTAAGACTAACACAGGCTTTCCTTTTTTCCTTTCCAGACGTTCCAACTTCAGAGCAACCTGAGTTGTTCCTAAAGAAACTTCAGCAGTGCTGTGTCATTTTTGACTTCATGGACACACTTTCTGATCTTAAAATGAAAGAATACAAGCGCTCAACTCTTAATGAACTTGTGGATTACATTACAATAAGCAGAGGCTGTTTGACAGAGCAGACTTACCCTGAAGTAGTTAGAATGGTAAGTTTTATCACGAACATTTTATATATCAAGATGGTGCTAGCTAGTATGTGTACTCAATAGAACATTGGAGTTTGCATGACGGATATTGCGTATTGCTGTAAAGCCTTTCAAATGCAAAATGGGGAAGACAACTTTACTTCTGGTAATTCACAATATGAGATACAGCCAATTTTATTATGTCAGCTCCAAATGCAGTGGGTGGGTTAGGATCACAGAAGACTCATAGGAGGTTTTGTATTCTTTATTTTGTTTAAATACAGGTCTTTCAAATGTTGGGCTTCTTAGCTGTGGTTCAGAACACTTCTATACAATGTTCAAAAGTTGTTGTGCAGTGTTTCGATGTTAGGGGAAATACCATTTTACATATGCGACATTAAAATGCTTTAAAGTTATGGATTTTAAATAGTTATTTGGATTGCACCTAGCACTGTCTTACTAATTGTATTGATTTTTCAAATGGCGAGGGGCCTTTTACAACTTGGCGTTCAGTGGAAGTTGGAGGAGCCATCAGAGTCTGTGTTGAGATTGCAAAACACTTTGTGAATAATTTCTTTTACATCTGTTCAGACTTGAACTGCAGTTGTGTGTGGAGTGTGCTGAATGTGTCTTTAACACAGTCTTTATCAGGTTTCTGTGCCTACTTTTATTTGTTTGACTAGAGGAAATGGACAAAATTCTTTGAGAGATATGCTTGATCCTTTCCCTTTCCTGGCTGACAAAGACAGGAAGGCTGAGATTATCTGTCTGGGCAACCTTGAGAGAAGGTTCCATGCCTTCTGTTCTCAAGAAGGCAGTGATGTGCCCTTTGATGAAGCTATCATTTTACTCAAACAGACTGGGCAATTGTCTAGTCTTGAGTATTGGAGTCTTAGGCTAGGTAGTTGTGTATTGTGTTTACCCGGCTTCAAATTTACCTGCATGGGAGCTCATTGTCTAGATCCCTTTCAGTCTGGTTTTATGCAGAATTTTGCGACAGAAATGGTTTTGGTTGCCGTAATGGACATCTTGTACTGAGAAACACAAATCTACCTAATTTCATTTTAAAGCCACCCCATTTAGTTGTCGTGATCACATTTTGTGGTATTGAATTCCATAGTTTAATAGTGCACAGTGTGAAGTACTTCCTTTCATCTTCCAACATTAAGCTTGCATTGGCTGTCCCCAGCTTCTAGTGTTCTGAGATAGAGAGAAAAACCTCTCTCTGTTAATTTTATCTACAGCTTACATAATTGTATACACATCTATCATTTCCCTCCTTACTGTTTTTTTTTAAACTAAAAAGCCTAACGATCCCTAACATGTAATTTGCCTTTTTCACAGCTTCTGCACAGTGGGGTCCACATCTTCATTGAGCTATCTACTTTGACCCCAAGGTCTTTTCCCTGCTTCATCACTTGTCAGTTCAGACTCTATTAATATATGAGGATTTATTGTCCCCTTGTGCATCACTTTACACTTGCTTATTTTCCAGGTTCTCTCTCAATTTCTTAGCCCAGGACACCAGATGAAAACAGTACCCCATCCAAATTTGGAACGGTGGTTACGCTAACAGGAAACCTGTTTCATCTACATGTTCAACTCTGTTCCTCTGGGGGGATTAAATTCTGAGTTAGATTTTCATTGTTTTATTTAATTGCATTATCTGCCATGATCCACTGACTGGATGGGGTACTGTTTTCATCTGGTTGTCAGGCATTCTTGCTGTTAATGTTGTGCTGTGTCTTTAATTTCCCTTACAGTATATTAGTTTCACCTGTGGCTAACTATATTATATTCTTTACAATTTGTTACCAGCATCAGTGACTACACTATCATATGAGCACTGATCCAGAGCATATTTTCTACAGCGTTTATATTTACTTACATGTAAGATTGGGTATGTATCTTAGTTGTATATATTGTATTATGCATTTTATCTTCTACAGACGCAGGTTTCATCGCATTTATATTGTAATTTCAGCTTGTTAAGAAATTGAACTGCATCCTTGTCATATTAATTCTTACAAGTTGGCTGATGAAGCATTGAACGAAATAGATTCGATATTTGGTGACAGATTATGTATATATTGATCATTTGAATTATTCTACCACGACTGGTGAAGAAGATTTAGAGACTTTGGTTGCAATTTCTGATCATTTGTATTAGTCTATAAATAGTGTTTAGTGCCATTGTTATTGGCCATTGTGTTGTGTTATTTTGTTCAGCTTGTCTATATTGCAACACAGAGCTCAGGGATGGATGGCAGGTAGTGATGACTGCAGAATACTTGGAGTCAGAGTTTGTATTGCAGAGTTTGGCGGATAGATAATAATGACAAGCATGCAGCATTTGCTCAGTGTCAAGCATCAGAAACTAGGTTGGAAAGGAGGAAACCTGTAGTGTTGATTCAGTCACGGCCTGAAACTTCCAGAGGGTCAAAATACACAGATGTGTGTTCCATTTCCCACCTCCCTGATGTGAGATCAACTTGCATTTAAGGGGCAGTGCTTCCATATTGGGGCTTGCTTGCCATTGTTACTGGGAAATAGCTGAATGAATTTATTAAAAGGGATAGTTGATATCTGAGGATGTTGGCAAACAAACCTCTGAAGCAATGGATCAAAGAAGCAGAGTTCAAACTGGTGGTTCTTTGTTGGTAGAAGTATCTGCCAAAAAGACTGCTCCAGTTGCTGCTTCTTAAACATGGTCCTGGGAAAGGGAATTTTCCCTTCTGAAGCAGAGGTGCCCATGTCTTGGTTCTGGGCCACAGTATTTTTTTTTAATGCTTTAGGATAACATAGATGGGAAACACTGGTTTATCCTAGCTGCTGTGACTGAACAGTATAAATGATGAAATAAAGTTGAAATGGTTGTGAGGAATATTTGTTTAAGTTGGTCATTGGTGAAGGGGCTGTTTAAATTGAAGTTGCATTAATAAGATATGTGTATTGCATCCCAGGAACATCCAATTTCCCTGTACCATGCTTATGGGAAGCATAAAACGTTCATGCTTGATATGTATGCATCCTTAGGTGTACAGGTTTAACTAAAATCTGACAGAGTTGATTTTATTAATGAGATATGTGTAGGCAAAATGTAAGGTATGATTCAGTTAACTAATTGGCAGCTTTATCTCGGGGGTTGTGCTGTAAAAAAAGTGATGCTGGTTTGGTGGTATAATTTCTATGGTACTCGTGAATCTCGCTGTTCTTAAAAACGAAGTAGACAGACTGCTGTGGAAAACCCTGCATTGCCAATCCCAGTCAGCCACCACATGCTGCAGTTTTGATTTCGTTTTCCCTTCAGATCTCATCTGTCCTCTCTGCTGCCTTACCTTTCTAGCTGAGCAATCCCAGTCTTTCATTATGACACCAGTGGCAATTTTTATCCTTGGAAATGCACCATCCTTTCAGTTTAACACTCACTGGATTCATTGTCACAGTTCTGCATTGTAAAAAATATAATTGGTAGGCTACCATAATTTAAAGAAGTGGGGCTTAGTCACTGGGAAAAATTTGATCTTTCCATAATGTCTGATATGCAGGGCTGTGTATAGTCTGCATTCACTTCTTTTGTTCTAAAGAGTCTCAGAATGTGCAGTAAGAATTAATATATAATATGTATGTATTTGTGGCACATTTGCAGTATAGCTCTTTATTCTGCTCATTGCCATCTCCTTGCAAGATTCACAGAGTCAGTGGCATTGGTGCTCTTGCAGTGAGGCATATGGTGGTGGAAGACGGCTGCATGGAGATAGGGTTTAAATGGCTAGTAAGATCAGGACAAGCACGTCAAAGTGCAAGTAGATCAATAGGTATCGCTCCAGCGGGAAGGTAAATGGCGTTTCCGTGCGCTGCTCTGGTTCGCCCGAAGCGGCTTAGTCATGCTGGCCACATGACCCGGAAGCTGTACGCCGGCTCCCACGGCCAATAAAGCAAGATGAGCGCCGTAACACCAGAGTCGGTCACGACTGGACCTAATGGTCAGGGGTCCCTTTACCTTTACCTCTAAGATCAGGACAGCAGGATATTTTGGCATTATGGAAGGATAGAGGGCTTTCTTTAGTGCCTGGGGCATTACCCATGAGGGACCATCCGAGACCAGGCATTGCCCACACATTTCCAAGCTTTTTATCTGCATCCATAAAGACTAGAAATTTGGTTTAATTTTTCTTACTTGGATTCAGATACCTACTGCTGAATTATGCATCAGGTACTTGATGTTTTAATAATAAAGAACTGAAATCCAGAAAAGCTGCTTCCATTCTAGGTAGACAGTGCTCCAGTAGAAGAGCAGTTGATCTAGTTTGTTATAAAGCATTTGATGACAAAACAAGTATAGAAATTTAATAAATAAAACAATTACTATCTATGTCCCTTTAAACTGTGTGTGTGGGGATATTGTTTTTGTTTGTTACTATGTCTTGCTGTTCGGAAGGTTGGCGGTTCGAATACCTGCGACGGGGTGAGCTCCCATTGCTCAGTCCCTGCTGCTGCCAACCTAGCAGTTGGAAAGCATGTCAAAGTGCAAGTAGATAAATAGGTATCACTCTGGCGGGAAGGTAAACGGTGTTTCCGTGTGCTGCTCTGGTTTGCCAGAAGCGGCTTAGTCATGCTGGCCACATGACCCAGCTGTACGCTGACTCCCTCGGCCAATAAAGCAAGATGAGCACTGCAACCCCAGAGTCGGTCACGACTGGACCTAACGGTCAGGGGTCCCTTTACCTTTATGTTAGGTATTTTTGTGTTTTTACATTGTAAACCTCTCTGTGATCCTTGGATGGAGGGTGGCATAGAAATTGAATAAATAAACAACATTCTGCTAAATCATATTAGAAGCTCAGACTTATTTTTGCACTGTCGTAGCTGGTTCTGCTTCTGGCCTTTATGTAACCTCACCCCTGTTGAGAGCATAGTGGTGCTGCCCTAGTGTGGGATCATGAATCTGCTCACCGTGCCACAGGATGCGATGTTCTGCTCCACAGTATTCATTGCATTGTCTCATTCTGATCCAGTGA